AAAATAAATAAAAATAGAATAAATAAAAATAAAGAAATTCTTTAAAAAAGAATTATTTTATTTAACTGTATTTATTTTAATTTGACTGGAGAGGGAGAGGGAGGGAGGGAGGGAGGGAGAGAGGGGGAAAGAGAGAGAGAAAGCAAGAAAGCAAGCTGCCAGGTCTGGGACTTGGACCATGGTCAGCCATATGGGAGTCTAGCGCCCTTAACCACTATACCACCTGTTGGCCCCTATCATTATTATTTTTTAAAAAGTTTGACCAGAGATAGAGAGAGAGGAAAAGTAAGTTACCAGGTTCGGGACTGGAACAGCAATTGGCTATGTGAGTCTACTGCCTTAGCCACAGCGCCATCTGCTGGCTCAAGAATGCACAATACTTAAAACAAAACGTATTTAGGAGCCCTGGAAGGATCTCTCTCTCTCTTTTTTTTTTTTTTGAGAGGTTTTTGCTATAGGGCGCATGCGTGTGCCAGAAAGACAGAGACAGAGAGACAGAAAGCGAGAAATCACCCCCCAGGTGGGATAGCCCCACCACAATCCCTTCTCCATTCTCCTCTCAGGATCTTGGGCACGCATGCACACGCGCCCGGCGTGAGTTTAAGCCACCGGGTTCAGGACTCAAACCGCGGTCGACTACATGGGAGTCCAGTGATTTAGCCATTACACCAACTGCTGGTCCCAGGATCTCTCTTTTAATCTATTTCCTGGGTTGTTCAATTCTTTCCCCAGAGCCTTTGAATTCCTAACTATTATTTAAAATTTTTTAACATAAAATGTAACAGCTGCTGTTTTTGGTTTATGTTGTTGAATTTCTAGGTCCTTCCTGGGCTCAATCCTAGCCAGATTCTTTCTCACAGCTGCCCCTTACTGGACTGCTCCCTCATCACCAGCCATGACACACGCCGCTCCCAGACGCTTGTCTTCAGTTCTACTCTTTAGAGCCCACCTTGAACAAGCCTTTCTGAGAACCATCTCAAGTTTCACACACTGGAGCTGGAAGCGAAAGCAAACCTGTCATGATTCAATGTGCGATAACACACTTAGCTGACTCGAGGGTAAACTGCTTCTGCGCCTCTCCCTCAGTTCTCTTAGCACAGAAGGGGGGCCTTGTCTATGGGTTACTATCTTTGGCTGATTCAGTGGTATCCCCATTAACATTCACCACGTTCCCTGCTCCTATCACCTGGAGAAAACAGGCCTCGCCAAGGGCGCTTCCTGCTGTGACGCTCGCACAAGCTCAGGGGTCCCATCCTTGGATGCTAGCCCCCGCACCCGAGCACGGAGGTCAGGGAGGTTACGGGACCTGCCCAGAGGTACCTGTGCTGGAGGCAGGATGGCACCTAGCTGCTTTGGCTTCCAGACCCCCTGCTTTCCCCGTCAGTTAGCCATCGTCTTGGTGAAGCTCTGAAAAATACCGGGCATTTCCTCTCACGTACACGACTATCGTGATAAGTAGGTCTCACTCATTTTTACAACTATGTACTTAAAAACCGGAAGGTTCCAGTGTACAAGCTGGATAGTTTTCTAAGCTGATCACTCCCAAAGCAGTACTCAGAATAAACACGGTATGGAAGACACTGTCCTCTGCGGGAAGGAGATTCTTCCTCGTGGTCGGCTGGAACTGGCGTTTAAAACCCAGCTGACAGGTCCCCAGATGTGCAGTTTCTACTGGGCTCTTCCCTAAGCCGTCGGGTGTCAGCTGCCGGACTCCGGGGACTGGACTGGAGGCCTGTGGACCTGCTGCGAGGGGGTGGGATTTCTTTTCTGAAGTCAAGGTCCCTGTGGCGCCCAGGGACCGCGCCCTGAAAGCTCCCCGACTCCCCCTAACAGTCACAGGCAGCCTCCCAGGCCCGGCCGGGAGGTGGGGCGTCTTCTGCAGCCTGCCGGCCATGCTCCCTGACCGCGGCGCCCCGCAGGCCCGGTGGGCTCGGGGAGGCGGGCCAAGCGGAGCAGTGGACAGCACTCCGAACTCCCCGAGGCCGCGTTAGCTAGCCCGGACCGCCCAGAGGCATT